AGCTACCATGGCAACTGGTCATGCCATGCCAATAAACCTGCATCTATTTGAATAATGCAAATCATTAAAAGCTTGCATAGCATGACCTGTTGCTATGGCTAGCTTCAACACTGACAGTGTTATAACTATACATACAAAAGTAAGAAGTTATAAACATTGGATGTATTCATATACACTGCCCATGCCAAGAAAGTAGAATAAGAATATTTAGCTGCCTTTCTACCTTGTGCAAGGTGTTTGATATTGAAACTGCACTTTTTCTACCTCCTGAACAGGTCTACACATGATGGAATGTGGGATGATTTTTGATGAATTGGAATAAATGACTAGGCTAAACAAAAGTTCTATTGCTTGTTAACAGAACTCATATATTGTAAAGAAGATCTTGTAGTTCAAAAAAATTTTAATTGCTGCTTGAACAACCTTTTGTCCACAGTTAACTATAATCTATCTTTAGAAAAATGTTTTTGGTGAATTGTGCACTGTGACTCATTTCAATTCATCGAAATCATCCCTCCTCATACTGATCTCGTCCTGGCGAAACGGGATCGCATAAAGTGCCCCTTATTCAGCAAATTGCGCATGGTACCAGCCCTTGGGGGTGAGGCAGCATTTTCCTTGTGATAGTAACTTCTAGTTATTCTATATACGTTCTTATACGTATAAATTATCATAATTAAACACCCCAAATACTGGAGCTTTTGAGGTCATGTGACCGGCCAATGCCAGGACCATTTTCGCTGACCGGAAGCAAAATGCCCTGGGCTCGCGATTGGCCATTCAAGAGCTATGCTTGCGTACAAACTTTATCCCCGTCACAATCTTTGTTTTATTTTATCGTATAATCGCAATTTTCAAGTATATCGCGTATTCTGAACTGTAAAATTCGGTGTCGTGACAAGGGAATATTCGCATAGAGCTATTTCTGGACCTAAATTAGTAGTTTAATTTAATTGTTTGTCTTGCTTTTATTTGTCAGTATAGAATATTGTAAATTAAAGTATTACTACAATACAATACAATACAATACAATACAATACAATACAATACAATACAATACAATACAATACAATACAATACAATACAATACAATACAATACAATACAACACGATACAATACAATACAATACAATACGATACGCGTAGTATTTCATTAGATATCTGCACTACATTATAAATGCTGTAAAAGGAAAACTACAGTTTAATCAAGTAGACGTTTCTTGTTTTGTCAGGAAATATCATAGCCACGTCGACACGGCTTTTGAGTTTTGTAACCTGCCGAGGCGAAAGTAAATCATGAAGTCGGGAAAACTGAAAGCGGTTGTTGCTCACATACAATTCACGTACAAGATATACTCGTACACAACAATCATGAAAAAAACATAGTTGAATTGTTATATTGAATAATTATTGTCAAGTCTGCTATTTTTAGACAACATGGTGTTAGCAAATCAGAATGCAAAATTGACCGGCCCAGATAAGGGCTTTCTCTTCTCTCCGCTAGTCCTCACACGAAAGCCCTGTGAACGAGGTTGTATTTACATATATAAGCTATTTCTCCGTGATTGCACAGCCACCATTTTTATTTTTTCAGCATAATCAGCAATATGATAGCTTACTTCCAGCCCCCCATACTAAAAGTAGGAATTGCCTATAGATTATGGCAATCATAATTCGATACTGGAAGTATGTTGTGGATAGGATAACGGTTAATAAAAATTAGGAATATTTGCAACAGTGCTTTCGTTGTACGGATGTTGACATTCCTACGACATATACTTACAACTAAAAAGCACGTAGAAATTTCAGCATGAGCTCCACCTTTGAATTTACTATATGGGTAAATTCTTAAACACGTCCGAATTTATCATTATGATAAATTCGCGGCAAATTTTGAATTTATCATAGTAATAAATTCGCGGCCCCTAACACTAACCCTAACCCCAACCCTAACCATTAACCCCTAACCACTAACCACTAACCACTAACCCCTAACCACTAACCCCTAATTCTTTTAACTTTTTAATATTTTTTAACATTTTTAAAAATCTAACTTTTTAAACTTTTCTTGCTTTTTAAAATTCTTTTTAAAACATTTTTAAAAACTATTTTTTAAAAAACTTGAAAAGCTACCCACCCCTGCGCGACCAGCCTCCCTTCTAGTGCCATTACATTTATAACAGGAAATCTTGTGTAATGCTTGTAGTTTTATGATTAACTCAATTGATAAATTCAAAATGTGCCGGGAATTTATCATAATGATAAATTCGGACATGTTTAAGAATTTACTCATATAGTAAATTCAAAGGTGGAGCTCATGTTGAAACATTTCGTCCATATCGGCCAGATTTCGAAAACTTGCTATAATGTGCCCATGCATGCATGAACTTAAAGAGAATGTAAATACAACGTTCCTGAAATAATCTAGGCTCATATGGGGTCTGGGACCTGGAACATTAATGGTTAAATTTTGTCTTACGAATTCGAGTTGTCTAACAAAGTATAATGCCCATTCTCGCCGAAGGATATAATTTACTGAACGTGGGTAATTTTACTGTGTGGTGTGCTTATTCTTTGTTCTAATCTATAATTTATTTTGTAACAAACCTGTGTTGAAGAAAATCCCCCATAATAATTACGTTGCTTAGATAACCACTTGACTATCTTCATTATATCTTTAGGTTGTTCATTTCGTTTCAGATAAGACATTAAAGCATAGCCGGTCATTTCCACATCAGCAGGGCGAAGCTTTTCAGCAAAGTAGTCTGTCGGCTCCTCGGTCGCGACTAATTTGTCATTCCTAGCAGACCAGAAAATTAGGCCGTCTGAAAGAAAATACAGGTTGATGAGCCCATTGCATCCGTGAAAAATTGAATGTATTATTAATTAACTATTTAATTTGTATGGCATAGGCCTTTCCCCTTTGCTCTTTTACCATGCATTTAGGATATTGCTAATAATTGACGCGCTGTCTAAATTATGTTACTACAAATATTCTTTCAGTGCATTCCGAGCTATATTGTTCCTTTGTATTTGGAATGAAATGTTAATAAAATAAAATATAAACAACATGTGCTTCTACGCAACTGCAAAATTTAATCACAAATATAACAACGCCACAACTCTATTTTTTTCATATGTACTCCAAATCGTTAACTAAACGCCTTTTCGATTGTGCGATTATTGAATATATTAAACGTTAAGAATTCAAGCGCTTAAGAATTCAAGCGAGCCTGATGCACGGAATTACGAACCCCAAAACCGTATCCAATAGCATTCCCTTGTTTGTATAGATCATGTATGCGTGATATTTGTAAAATTTCGACTTTGTAAAATTTTCAAATGATGGGATGGATGAAAAGTAAATTGCCTATTTACCTGTTTTATTATTAGCATGACAACATTACTGGATGCTGATTGGTTGAGAGGAGTACAATTATTTCATTAATTATTTATCTTCTGTAATCAGTGGCAAATACTGCAATTTCATTGGTTTACAGGAGTGCGATTTGAGCATTAATCGCACCTTTTCTGAGCTGTAATCGCACTCTTGTCTACAGCCAATGAAAATCAGTCTAGTATTTACACTAGCCAATCAGTACTCAGGATACAAACTTTGAATTTTATTTTCTTTATTGCTGTAAAAAAATTCAAAATGGAGGAATTCACAAATTTTGCCCTTTTAATTTTTAAATCAGCCCTCGAAAACCGTCAAAATTGAGGTCGGAAAAAAAATGCCGACCTAAATCTGACCTATCTCGGCATTTTTTAAAATCTGTTTCCATGTCTTGGAGCACTAGTAATCACGTATTTACGAATCATTGAAAAGTATAAATGTCACGAAGCCTTTTCTTTTAGAGTTTTACTTAAATTATAACATAAATATACCCGTTAATTCTTAAACCTTACACCAAAGTGCATCGAATTAATAATCGCTGACTTTTTAACAACTATAAGAACCAAAAAGATTCTTACTTTGGCTGAATTAAGGTCGGCAAAACATTGCCGACATGGGAGGTTGATAGGTCAGCATTTTAATACTGAAGGTCGGCATTGCCGAATGCCGATCTCATTTTCGAGGGTTGTTAAATTATATATTTTCTGACGAAAATGACCTACCTGTTCATCCAGCAGAAGACACCGAACTAGACACAATCCAATTCAGATGATTAATTGAACTAAAGAACTTCACTATTTTGAACACGTTATAAACATACAAACATGGCTTCCCAATTGTGTTTTGAATAATTCAAACAAATGTTGTCATGTGGTTATACCGGAAATAATGCCCGGAAGTTAATAATATGTTAATTTGATTATATATGATAAATAATAATTCAAAATTGTACTATTTCACTAAGAATTGTCGTGACAAAAATTTAAAAATTATATTGATTTTAGAATTTCAACAAATTGTATTTTTCTGCTTTTCCCCCTTAAACAGTTTGATTACAGAAGATAAATAATTAATAAGTAATAGAACGAATTAAGTCGTACTATTAATGCCATAATCATACTCGTGATTAACAAATCAACCTCCCGCTACGCGGTCGGTTGATTTTGTAATCACTCGTATGATTATGGCATTAATAGCACTCCTATTCGTTCTATTACCATCATTAATTGTACTGCAATAGATTATTCTTCCAAAACAAAACAAAATGGCGGAAAGGTATTTTAACAAAATACAAATCTGAAATGAAATAGCTCTAGGGGAACTAAACGAAAATTAAATACGAACAAAAGCACCAAATTTTGGTTGATAGTCTGGCAGGTCTTGGCTTTGGCGAGAGAATATGATCTCGACATTGAGAAGTATGTTTAATCATGATAATAAAGTTCAGTATGTTTAATATTGATGTTCGCATTGATTAGCCCCGGCGGCTCGTCCAATTTGGCAAAATTTCCAAACATCCCTCGTACTATTAATCCCTAATGGCACTTGCCATCGCATGATTACCTATACTATATTCGGGGTTTTATTTTTATTATATAAAACAAATAGATAAGATTTTGACGTTGTCTGTTGAGTTATAGATACACACTATGACATCATAATGTGGGAAGAACAAAAAAGTGATCCACTCGCCTCGGCAGCTCGTGCGTCACTTTTTTGTTCTTCACACATTATGACGTCATACCATGTGTATCGCTGACTGAACAGACAACGGTGAAATCTTATCTATTTGTTAAGTAGATTGGATTAGAAGACACTAAAAATAAATTATCCCACCTTCCGAACTGACTGCCTTGTTCTTTAAACGACTGATCATAAGTCCAGATTTTGGATGATCTGCTAACACTAAGGTGTATGTTACTAACGACGTAGTGTAAGAATCCTGAATATGTGTTAGGTTGTCGGTTACACAACTAAGGGCTTTTGAGACCATCCGTGTCTGAAATATACGGGATAATATGTTAGATAAAAGTGAATTATGGCTTTTGATTCAGAAAATTAAAAATAATTAGACAGTATCCTGAGTGTAGGACACCAGTATATGCAGCGAAGAACAATATTTATGAACTTGATTTGTTGGAATTACATATAGCTCCATGTGGTGACCTGAACACACGTAATTTTTCACTCTCATGCAAGTATATCAGGAAAATGTCGCCTAAAACCGCATGTTTAATTAAACACTAACTCCAGTTTCTTGAAGCATAGTAGTGTAAACTGTCTTCCATGTTGAATGGAGTAAACGATCGCAGGTTAGCTGAAGTTCAACAAAACAACGATGGATAGGAACCAGTCGAAACAACAATTATATGAAGAGCAAGTAGGAAAAGATCTGTCATACCCGCAATAGTAAACTATATCCTGATGTGGAACCCGTATGGTAGTCTGCCTAGCGATAATTATCAAAGCTGTAGCAGACCGGCTGTGGATATAAACATTGAAACAGCGCACAGCCTATAAGATTGGAGCAGTGCCGTTCATAGCCTGCTTTTCAATGAGAGCTTGCAGTATTAAGATCTATATCTTTATATAAAATATTTCTTACCTTCTTATTAAAACCAGCTTCCAATAATGCTATTGTGACGTATGCCGTAATGGTAAGTTCGCTGTTCAAACCACCCTGGAAGTTGTATATATGATTATAGATATGATGATTGAGTTGAGCATAAGATACGGAAGCTCAGACAGTTTGGTAGCTAAGACCTGTTACGGTAGCTAAGGCATGTTATGGCAGCAAAGAGCTGTTATGGTTGGACACGTTATGCTCCCTTACCAGCAGGAGCAAATGTCGTTTTAAAGTGTAAAATAATTATCCAATATTACTTGGGGGGCAGAAATGTAATTGTAATGAATGAGCGCCAAATTTTGTCCGCCCCTTAGGAGCGGGATCTACCACACCATTATCCCTAAAACTTGATTAATTTGCTTCATACTGTTGTGTCCAAATCAAGGTCAATAAACATATTAATTAATCCCAGTTTAAATACATTCATTTCAAGATTTCAAAAATAGAAGCCAATTGGGTAAGTGAGGGAATGGAAACAGCTTAAATTTAGTCATCAACGCATTTCTTGCATCCATAGTAGTATATTTTGTAACATTTTTTCCAACCTCCACTTGGATATAAGAAAACAAATTAGCCTCTCCACAAATATTATATTACTATTAAAAGTCTAGACACTTGCCTGAAGTGATTTATCAAACACTTTTCCGTATTTTGGGAAACAACCTGAGGGTTTCTGTTTTCTCCGAAACCATTGAATGCTGTGTTTGATCTCGTCTTCATCAACAAACACATACTTTCGCGCTCGTGCAAATGAACGAACCACGAATGCTGTTAACCTAACAAAACGAATAGTGGTGAATTTGGGTAATTATGATTCCATTCCTTTATGTTTAATTGAGAAATGACTGGACGTCGTGGAAATCAGATTTAGTTGACAAAGTTAGCGTTTTTAAATAAAGTTATATCTATCTATCTTTATTTACAAAATCACATTAGCCAATTAATTTCCGCAAAGCAAAATCATCTGCCATTTGTTGTCAAAGTAATAAAGAAAGGCGTATTATGGATAAATGAATGTTGCATCAGTGTAGAAACCTCAGACAAGGGGAGTTAGCAACCCATATACCGCGGCTGGAGTTAAACATTCAAAGCCATATAAGAATGCAGAACGGGAATACAGAGGGCATTAAACTTACATCATGCTTCCTTCGCTGTCTGATTTTCCAAATATGCTATACGAACCACTTCTTCGTTTGTACGTTAATTCTCTTTGATATCCTGTGTGAAATAAATCCTCGTAATGAAAGTATTTGAAAAGTTTCGATACCTGAAGATATGTAACACCAATAACAAGTGTTAAGAGCGACTGTCCGTAAAAATCGAGAAAAATTTGAATTCTGCGGCAATACACGAAAAATAGATTTCTTTAATATTTTGCTTAAATTTAGATAATACCTAGTTATAAATGGTGTTTCGGTTAGATTTTCAATATTTGGTCGATAAACGTACAAATATCAGAAATCAAAAATTTGTCTCCGGAAGGCTATAATTAGCCTCAGGTCAATTTCATCACTTCGTGGCGGATTCAAAACTGCCCGTAGATAGTTTTGATGGTTTAATGACTATAATTCAAGTATTAAAGAACACTGTTATCAATATAGAATGGTTCAGGAGGCTTTAACTGGCCTGCCAGACGTCGTTGAAATTGACTATCTTTAGTCAAATTTTAGAATTGTATTTTGTGGCTGGATTTGAAGGGGAAATTTACTATGTGCGATAATCGTGAATTTGTTTATATTTCATCCACGGACGGGAATGGTATAGTATGAATACATGTTATATATAAAAATTAGCTTGGGTTATTGCCTTGGAGCCTCGCACGAGACTTTTAAAAAAGCTCATTTTGGTGATTTCCAGTGGAATGTAACACAATTAAATCATTAGATCTATACGTCTATACAAAGTCACGAAGCTCAAATTGTTCAAAACTTTGAATTTTTGTGTTTCGATATCCAATGTATATGCTTTGTATACTTTATAAAAAAGCGTTTAGAAGGATTTTCAAGATATTTTAGAGATGGGCATATATATATATATATATATATATATATATATATATATATATATATATATATATATATATATATATATATATATATATATATATATATATATTAGATATATTACAACAAAAGCACAACAAATCATATTATATTACTAGACTGTAACGTTGCTGTTTATAGCAATTTGCGTGTTGTTTTGTCTCAATCAATTCCATGGTTGCCCGTCCCCCGCCCCCGGGCGTTTGTCGGGCATTCTCAACTGTACTTGTTCCCAGGGTCGGGCATTTGCTTTCTGCAGGTTAGCCCCGGGTTTGGGAATTTGCTCCAGGCTAAAAAGTCGAATATTTATCGCTTGTTTCGCCATTTAGCCGTACTTTAGTACGCATGTTTACACGTGCGTGCGTATCGCAAATTTATCATGGCGGACACACACTCATACACAAGACATTTTTTCTTGTCCATCCTGTTGATACATTGACTTACTTCCGCAGTTTGATATTGCTATATAAAGTTTTGAGACTTCAATATTTTAATTAAAAACGTTTTGAAACGAAATGGCTACAGCATCGATTTTAAATAAAGATATATTGATACGTGATAGAGCTTGGATTCGATTTTTTGGATCTGAAATCCTCAGAAAACTTATATTTTGTCCCCCAAGGGTGGGGCATTTGCGTCAATGTAAGTCCCCAAGGGTTGGGATTTTGTTGCATTATTTGGACTCCATACTGGGGCATTTGCAACATTTTTTCGCCAAAATGACAAAAGCCCGACAAACGCCGGGGGGGGGGGCGGTACGCATGAAATTCATTGAGACATTACTGAATGTATATTTAATATGTCTGTCTGTAAGCTTTTGAAGTCTTATAATTTCTCATATTTGTTTAAAGGTGATCTACAGGCCGTAAGTAAACAAAGCCTTTGTTTACATTTTTGTGTCCAAAATATTGAGCTTTATTCAACAACTATTTATATTTTCAAGCTTAATTCTAGAGTATAATAAATGATCAAGAAACAACAATCAGGCTTTTCAAGAACTCAAAACATAGTTAAACTGTTTGTATCATAAAAAGTGGGCTCATTTGTGCACATGCGCATGTAGCGGATTGACTAATAAGTTA